GTGCCCCTGACAGGCCTGAGGTGCTCCTGAAAGGACTGTGGTGCCCCTGGGCCCTGACAAGCCTGAGGTGCCCCTGACAGGTCCGTGGTGCCCTTGACAGGCCTAAGGTGCCTGAGGCCGGTGGTGCCCCTGGAAGGCCTTTGGTGCCCCTGGAAGACCTGTGGTGCCCCTGACAGGTCTGTGGTGCCCCTGGCAGACCTGTGGTGCTCTTGCTAGGCCGATGGTGCTCCTGACAGGCCGGTGGTGCCCCTGTCAGGTCTGTGGTGCCCCTGATAGGTCAATGGTGCCCCTGGTAGGCCTGTAGTGCCCCCGGACCCCAAGGGGGCATGACCCATGTGACCCCACCTTGGATCCGCCACTGGTTGGCACCCATGCGAATTCCAGAAGCATCCAAAAACATTTTTTATTACGAGCGAACGTGAAACGTGAGAAGTGAAGAGTCAGCAAAAGGTGTGTGTGTGTGGGGGGGGGGGGGCAGTTAACATTGCTGGCCCCCCATTCGAAAGTGGGGGACCATGGCCCCCTGCCCCCCTGTTCCTACGCCTATGCCAGTGACCGATCAACTAATGCAAGGCCGCCAACATAATTTATGCAACATAAATTGTTAGTTTACGCCGTTTACGCATTCTTCTGCGCCAGTATTGTCTCTCTTTGCAGCGCGCGCTGCCCCTAAGCTGCCACTTATTGCTTCTGACAAAATTTGCTTTCATTGGGTGGGGGAAAATTGCACTCAATAACGATGAAGCACAAATGGAAATCGTCATGGAAGGGCAGGCCGGAGAACCGTCAAGTTTGTTCTTCGGGGTGGCACCTATGTACAAATACATTAATGTTCAGCAAAAAGTGGGGGGCCAGTTAACATTACTGGCCCCCCACTATGAAAAGTGGGGGCCACCTGCCCCCCCCCCCCGTCCCCCCTGTTCCTACACCTATGGCCACGAAACACCTTTTTGGGATTATCTGCGGGTCACACATAGGGAAAGCGGGGCTTTGCCGAGCGACAAACTGGAAATTTCGGCCACCACCTGTAATTACAGTACCTACAAAGTGCACCAACAATAAATTTGAGGACCGATTATTCTCTTTGGTGCAGATTTGGTCAAATTAGGCTCATTGTCTTTCTTAAAAGTTAGCAGTTGGGGTTGCACAAATGCTTATAGGTACACCTCATTTTTTTTCAAATTATCTGCCATTATTTTCGATTAAAACACTAAAATAATTCATGATATGAAGATATTTGATTTGTTGTAAAAGAGATTTGGTGCAGATTTCTAATTTGGTTTATTTACCGGGTGGGGCAGAAAGATTTACCTCTTGGTTTTCTTAAATATTTCGGCCCTGAACAAAGATATCAAATTGATTTCTGGCACATATATGCAGTAACATATACACATCTCAGCGACGGCATTATGACTCAATATGGTCACCTTTGTCCTTCACCACTGCCTCGAAACGTTCCTCTGCGAAGGGGCACGAGCGCCGCACGGTGTCCCCGCCAAAATTCGACGGTGCCGTCTCGAGGGCCAGCTTCAGGGCGGCGATTCTGCTGTGTGCCGCTGCACACACCCTCCTCTCCAAGATGGTCCAGATTGCGAAGTTCATCGGATTCAAGTCTGGACTTGATGATGCCCGAATGTCTTTGTCCCAGAACCCAGGCATGTGGGTCTTCCACCACGGTTGAGCGATGTTGGCCGTTTGTGGCGGCGCACCGTCCTGGACGAAGACGTATCCGTCTCGGAACGACTGAGGCAAAACATGCTCCTCCAGCAGATAGACTTAAACCTGTAAATTAACTTTCACAGCCTCCTTGATGAAGATCAAGGTTCCTTTTGAGCCGTCGGATGCGACGGCAGCCTAAACCAAGACACCAGCAAGCTTCTGGCGACGAAAAATGGTGCGAATAGCAGGATCAATGCTGGATGGAGCATCTGCCAAAATTCTGACGCTTTGGGAGTGTCTCTGGGGCTCAAGCATGAAAATGTTGTCATTGGACCAGAAGAATACCTTGTTACCGGCGTTCCTGATCTCCAATGTCTTTTGGGTCCTGTGTAGCCGCTTTTCCCTTAATGCCGCCGAAATTAGGTGCCGATGTTGCGCCCTGTATGACATGAAGCCCAAGCCGTCGTTTATGATTCTCTTGGCGGTTCTGGGCGAAACACCGAGTTCCCTTGGCAGTTTGCGCATGCTTCGCCTAGAACTTGAAACACCTTCTTGTGCACGATATTAACCAGCTTTTTGAAGCAGATATCCCTTGTTCTGCCTGGTGGCATGGACTTCGTCGACACTAACCCTGTCTCTTTAAGTCATTTAATTACGCTGAAAACAGTTTTTACGGCAACACCGAGCTGTTTGGCAACGCTTCAGGAGCTATGGTCAACCTACTTCAGCGCCGCTATTTGGGCTCTCTTAGTCATCTTCTCCATAGCTCACCAACAAATCTTACAAAATGCAAAAACGATCTTAATGTTGATACATGAGTCAGTTGGGTAGTTCACATGCAAAGTTTTATCAAAATCAGTCCATAACTTTGGTAAGTCGAGGAGTTTGGCACGCCGCAGCGGCCGAGCCCATCCCGTCGGGATAGGTGTGCCCCGGCTCGGTGGGACAGGCTACCAAACTGCTCAAGCGGTAACACTGGAACACAGCACACAGCAGTATGGAATGGAATGGTCCAGTAGCAAACATTACACGCCTCTATTGGGTTTCCAATTAATTCGTATGGCCATGCAGATATCGCGCATCTCATGGTTCTTCGGAAAAGAATCAAATAATGTCAAGAAGCAACGTTTAGTACGCTAGTATGGTAATGTAATGCTCATTAGAGTTCGTTACTTGAGACGGATCAAGCACGCGTTTATTTTCCATGTCCCTGTGCCTAGTAAAGCCCTGTGATAAATTTCGTTTTCTCCATTCGAAAAAAAAAATCGAGCGGCGCCGGCCGAATCAAAGTTCAGATTCTCAACGGCGCCGGCGCTGCAGTCTCCAAGTTCAGAAGTCACGTATGTTTGTTAGCATGAAGAGTATCACGTCATATTTAGATGACCCTCTTGCTCTCATGGCATTGCCTGCCTGTTGGTTTGAGCAAGCTCAAACGGCCACGATTCAATGTTGCGCGAGAGACCATTCACCAAGTTAGGAACACCAAACACCATCTAACACTATTGCATGTGTCTGGTAACTGAAGAGTCCGTCGTCCCATATCAAAATGAATACATTTTTATCCAACATGATATAATCAATATGGTTGGTAGCCCATAATGATCTGATAGCTGGGGCGGCCAAGGATTAAAACTTGTTTAACAGTAAGTGGCCATAGTGTGAAAACTGGGCCATCAAAGGTGACTTAAATAAAACAGTGAAGGCCCGATCGAATCTGAAAGTCTCACTCCATCGAAATGAATTTAATCGGACGCGGAAGAGGGAAGTGTTTCACTGTTTAAAGTTCGACAACTGGGAGCCGTGGCCCATGCTAGGATGTAAAGCTCGTAGAAAATGACAGGCTTATTTTGGAATTAATGACAAACATACTGATGATTACCACTTGCAGTGACGGGTCATGACCGGTCCTTGAGAAGTTGATAATGCAATATGTTCCGTTTATTAGTTGGCTGCATTATGGAGGATTTGATGATTACGCTTCTTTCAGAAATATGGGTTTGCCCAGTTCCTTCATTTAGTTGATAAAAAATAGATAGGTAAATCAAGTTTCCCAAAAGGAACCCGGGGGTGAATGCGGCGAGACTTGTGTCGCTGGTTATGCTTTTATGCGTACAGTTCATTTAGCCTCCTCTCTCTCTGAATGCCTTGGAATGAGAGACCGCTCACATCAAATTGCAAAGTGTGGTCGGTAGCTTTCATATTAACATGGACAGATGACACGTCATTCGATGTCAGGCCTTTTAGCAGATGATTAAAGCTTTGTTATTGATTAATATGAAATACTTAGGTTCTGTTATCGGCGATGCTCGAACGTGTCTGTTTCTTGTATACACATTAGCCGTTTTCACGACGGGCTGTATCCGGCAAATGCACCTGATTTGGCCAAATCTGCACCTAATTTCTTTTACAGCAAATATCTTCATTTTATGAATTTATTTCAGTGTTTTAATCGATGATGCTCTCTGATAATATGACAAAGCAGGCATATCAGCAATTAGTGCAACCCTGGCTGATAGCTGCTAAGAGACACACTGAACCTGATTTGACCAAATCTGCACCTAGCACCAAATGTGTACCAGATGGCCGTCGTAAAAACGGCTATTTTAAATTTTTAACCAATTACAAAGATAGATTGATGAAAGCTCTGACTGACAGGCATCATTTATGTGAACTTTAGGTTCATGGATGTTTTTATCGGTAATACCTAATTTTGCAGAGAGATCGAGCCTCCTCTTACTCTGCGCCCCTCCCCCCCCCCATCAACATCCCACAAGCCTCCGAAACCAAATAATCATCCCAAAGTTTTTTTTTTAATTTGTGTCGGCCCGGCCCCTGGCCTTATCACACCATCACCATCATGTTTATTTCGCGGCACATTTGCTGACAACATACAACAGCACATAAGTAGGGGCACTAATGGTCTAATATTTGTCCTTTTGACTCTTGTGAAAGTCGGCTAATACGGACAATGGGCAATGGGTATGCTTCCGATGTTAGAGACCTCAGACCAATGTCAACGATGCGACCATTCGATCAATCGGAAGCAACTGTTTCAATATCCATACGATCTTATGACGCTTTTTCAAGTTTCGTTGACGATATATATGGGGTCTATGATTTATCAAATGTAGGTATAGTGAATATAAGACAAAAAACCAATTGTGATATCACGTCATTTACGGACACAATACGATAAGTTCGAAATAGGTATTGTTCCTTGAAATTGTTAGCCGTCATAAAGTGTTATCGATTTGTACAACACGCAAGCTTAAGCATGTTGCTAAATATCAATTATCTCATAGAACACCACCGCTCCCAACTAAAAGCGCGGTTTATCTTACCGTTTTGTCTCTCCGCCTCTGCGGTGGTCTCGGCTTTCCCGGCGTCCTCCATGGCTGGCCGGCGGTGTTCAAATGTCGCCACGTCGCCGAAGGCGGTCACTCCTCAGCTTTATACAAGATGTCTTTGCCGTCTCCTTGTCACCGACTTCTCACGGCTTTGGTGTGATCTTATATTGGCGGGGTGCAGCGTTTATCTCAGGGACCCAGGAAAATTCCTGTTGCTAGATGCACTGCTTTTTAGCAATATTATAAAGCCCAAACTTTAGTTACGTGGAAAATCTGAGAAAATTTTATCGGAATCGAGCCGTAGCCGGAGATGCCGCCAGCGAACTGCACCGAATCATAGATTCTCACGGCGGCCGGCGACACCGCGAAAATCAGCGGCTCTGATTGGCCGGTGGGAGGGATTATCCGGCCGGCGGCGGCCGCTGATTGGCTGCTGGTCGGCGGTCGAACGTCAAATGTTCCGCGGGCCGGCCCCGCCGCCGAGAGAGCCCGGCCATGTAGCTGAGATTGTGGGGATCGGGAGCGCTCCTCTGGGAGACGACGGCTATCAAATGGACCATCGACACAGCGCGGCAATCTCCGCCAGTTGCGGTGCTCAACAGCCGACATGGCCGGCCGCCGGCGCCACCGCTGCAGCCCACAAACGCTGATGGCTGACGGACCGAGGTGGTCGGTGGTCGGCAGAGAGCTGGGTGAAGGCAGAAATCTGGTTGGGATCATGTGATGATGCACAATGCACATGCTACATATGTAGCTTAATGAAAATGAATAAAAATACAGGGTCTTTCATAATGAATGTTACTTTTGAAAGAGCTATTTCTCAGGACATATATGCTCCTCATGTAATATGTACCATCACATGAAACAGAAACACATTAGCGTTTTTGCACACACAACTTTCATTTTAATGCTCCTCAGGAATTTTCCACTGTATCGCCCTTAATTAAGACACACGTTTCGGCCCTCTGACGAAGGTGTCGCACCCCGCGCCTCACAACGTCTGGGTCCAGGCTTCCAGAAAACCTCTCCACTGTGGTTCGCAGTGGATGGCTGCAGGAGGGTTTTGTCTCAGATCTGCCAATGCGACTCCCCAAAACCAGTAGTCCAGCGGGGAGAGGTCAAGACTCCGTGGTGGCCATGGTCGCTCGGTGAGGCGGCTGATAACGCGCTCTTCGAAATTCTCGATCAGCCACTGGCGCAACAGCTGCCGTGGTGTGCACTGTGGCACCATCCTGCTGGAACCACAGGCCGTCTCTTTGAACCTTGTCCCTGACCTGAGGCAGAAGCATTCCTTGAGCAACTTGAGGTAAGCCACCCCGTTCAGTGTTGACCTAGGGGAGAGCCCATGGATGAAGACTTGTCCGTCGACGGACGACCGTAATCCGTAATGCGTTTTAGTGGTGTCTACATACTCTGCTTTTGCGTGAAGGAAAATTGGCGTTGTGATTTTTTTTATTTTTTTGGGACAAAACCCTAATCAATTTGCAACAATACGCATATAAAATTCACGCGGAAGTGATAAATTAAGAGCTCCTAACTAAATGTTTAAAAGTAACATTCATTATGAAAGACCCTGTAGATATGAGCTTTGAACTTTGAAGCCATTAGCAAATCAGGAGAAAAATGAATTGCTATTTTACCTGAGCGATGATCAGGTGTAGCATTTTGAAGGCAGCTTTTAGGCGACTTTTCTTTGTTGTTAGTCATAGGCATTGAGCAGCTGAAAAATGTCACCATCTGCACTATGATACGGTCATGGAGCCTTTCATCATGGAATAATGAGGTACCTAAATGTTTTTTTTTTTTAATGCTGCGCTGGCACCAGTGAGTTTCGTTTACGATGTTTCGGCCCTTCACAGAATGTCGTCAAACTTAGCTTATAATAGGCGTGCAGTAGCAGCAAGGAAAGGTACCGGGAGAGTTATTTGTTATGATTTGGCTACGTTTAGTTTGTTATTAATTTTTTGCTATTTGTGGTTATATGTTATTTGTTAACGGTTATTTTAAGTTATGGTCCGTCAAACTCCTACCCTTTTACATCTCAGGACCCATAGCGATTTAAGTCGGCAGCGGCTAGCTAGTAAACTAGTAAGCTAGCTAGTCAGCTAGTGCCGCAGGGGCGTCGACGCGTAAGGAAAACTGGTCCGACTTTTTCTCGGGGGGCCCCCACCGGTGGGGGCCCCCAGGTGTCGAACGGCTTCCCAACGTACATTTACATACATACATGAGCAGGGCCCCCCGAGCCGCAGTAGGGCCCCCGCGGTCTGCAGCAGGGGCCCCCGCGAGCCACAGCAGGGCACCGCCTAGTCGAAAAAGTGGTCCGACTAGTCGGAAAAGTCGGACCGGTGTCGACGCCCCTGGGCCTAGTGGGATCAGCATATATGTGATCCATCAACTGTGAGTATCCCTTAAAGGTAGTGTGCCAGCTTTCCTGGACCGTATGGAGTTAATGGCCCAGATAAGGAGAACCGGATTTTTAGAACTTATCCATACCTTCAAAACTCATGGAAACGTCTTAAATTCTTCAAATTTTGAGTACCCCAGTGCGAAATTCGCCCCGACGGGTTGTCGGTCGTACCCCAACCACATTTCACACCACTATGAACAATAAATGCACACACTGAAATCGCTATTACCGATATGCTCATCCAATCAAGTTTCGATAAACCCGTTCATCATCATCTCCTGCGGTTTCGAACACGCCTGTTAGGTGGTGCGGTAGACCGCGCCCAAAGCCAGGGCCCCGGTAACGTGAGTTAGCCGAGTCGGGGCAGCGTGCGCTGACCCAAGCCGGGGCCGCGCGTCCTCCCGGTGTCATGTGATAGCCCGGGGCTGCCCGCGGGGATGCGGTAGACCGCGCCCAAAGCTGCGGCCCCGGCTTGGGTCAGCGCACGCTGCCCCGACTCGGCTACCTCACGTTACCGGGGCCCTGGCTTTGGGCGCGGCTTCTGCTCATACTTTGTGGTGCGGTGGTGGTGCGTCGGGCCGCGCGCTCTGACTTCGGCCAAGAAAAATGCGTCAGCTGATCATTGTCATTTCTGCCACTTGCGTGTGGTGAAATGGGGTCATAACTTAAGAGACGGCCTTTTCATATCAATTATTCTACATAAAATCATATTTCAAACCATAAATAATGTTCGACAGCCAAATAAAAGAAACAATACCAATACAGGCTTACAGTTTAAGGCTCGACATTGTGTTGTCTACGATTAGACAGCTGACAACTCATTCCCGTACGTCGTAACTCTATAATGACCTTTGCTTATTGTCACATGTGCGCCGCATTCGCGATTGTTGCCGACGCCTGTTTGCAGGTCAGCCCACTACAGTTGTTATACATATCGAAAAACCGATAAACTTTTAGGCGAAAAAGGCACTATTCCAGGCCCATTTTTGATTTTCTTTGCGATATTAGGTAAAAACAGAAGCTTCTTATCCTAGGAAAAATAAAATGGGAAATCTTTCAAAGGTGGCACACTACCTTTAAATGTTTTCAGATCGAAGGAAGAGACCATTTATGCAGCACCTCCCGTAGCGTCTGAGCATGTTGAAATTTTGTCGCGATTCGCCAAAGAAGGAAATCTTGTAACAGACACAATTATCTTTTAGCTGCACAGCGAATCATTAGAAAGTCAAATCAGAGTTTTTTAAATTGTAGAAACTCTTTGATAAGTATGCTCCTATCAGTGTCTACCTTTTACGTTCCCTTAATTTCGATAGACTCGGTGGCGTTGCAGCCATGACCAGCCCATTATTGACAATAAAGCAACTCGAGGAAACGATAGCACCAAATTACTGCAGATGCCCTGCAATATTCCAATAGTTATTAAAGAAGAATAACTTCGAACGATCATAGAATCGTTCGACCATTGAACGAAGCGTGAAGAAGGTGAACTTCTCGTTTCGTTGGATAGAAAAAGTGATGCGGTGTGTTTTTAAAATGGCTGTTATTCATGATGAGATGTTAAATTTCTATTACGGATGCTTACTTTTGTAAATTTTTCAACTGTGCATAAAAGCAACGATGCGTCAGAGAATGCACATAAAAAACGCATCGCATATGAAATTGTACTGACATATTCAATCCCATGCCTAAGTATAATAGCCGTTTTCACGACGGGCTATCCGGCGAATGCACCTGATTTGACCAAATCTGCAACTAATTTCTTTTACAGCAAATATCTTCATTTTATGAATTTATTTCAGTGTTTTAATCGATAATGCTCTCTGATAATATGACAAAGCAGGCATATAAGCAATTAGTGCAACCCTAGCTGATAGCTGCTAAGAGATACACTGAACCTGATTTGACCAAATCTGCACCTGATCTGTACCAGATGTGCACCAAATGTGTACCAGACGGCCGTCGTGAAAACGGCTAATGTCACTCAGTGGTGGCTACTACCAGCCAGAAGTGATGTCTCGCTACATTCACTAGCATACCGTCATAACAGACCCTTTGGCTTGTTAGGCGCTCCAAAGAGCAGCAATGCAGCTCCATGGTTCTGACTGCAGCGGTTACTATGCCACTCTGTCCACCCCACCCCCTCTCGCTCCCCCCCCCCCATCGTCTGCGGAAGACGGCCGGTAGTCACCCGTCGCGTCGTCCTGATGGGATATGTGTGAGGATAATGGGTCCACAACCCACCTCCCACTGACCGTGCAGTCGTCGCTGCCTCCGCCGCTATAACCGCCGGCTGACGGCTGCTCCTGACGGCTACTGTACTGAGGTGGGGCTAACTCAATGTCACACCTATGGCACCACAGGGAGAGAGAGAGAGAGAGAGGGGGAAGGGAGAGGGAGAGGGAGAGAGAGAGAGTGAGAGAGAGACGAGAGTTAGAAAGAAAGATGGAGAACAAAGAGGGAAGACCGAAGAGAGGAAAAAGAGACAGGATTTTGTTCGATAGGGGAGCTGTGAACTTCCGTTATTTCGAAGGAGTAAATGATAATAATATTTCAATTTAATTAATAATTCCCCATGGACTGAAGATTCGCCACTGCCCAGTGCCCGCCTTGCATGGCTGCGGCGGACTCTCAATCAGCCG